TGCTCTATAGACTGACATAATCTACAGAATTGCAGAAAAATCCACCAAATTCAACCACACACATCTGCCTGTATTAAGACAAAACAGCTGAAGTTACAATTTTAAACACATCGCTTATCTCGGAACAGAATTTTAATTACAGACATGAAAACTAACAATTTTCTTTCACAAAACTTCAGTGCCAGAACGACTACCTTAAGTATCATTCGTAAAGTGGTTAAGACAACCAGAGCATGAAGCTACTCCTGTCTCATGTCTGAATAAATATAGTATGTAATCCATTATTCCCGTGTTCTATGCTAGGGGATGGAAAGCCATGATTTTATTCCCGCTAAGGTACATTCCCGCAATATGAAACCGACCCTGAGACCCACCGAGATCTCTTATACATTTAAATAAATAAATAGTCTGAAATTAACTGAATCTAATCGCGTTTACCTTACCATGTGCATACAAAGGCATCAGACAATGAATTCGTCCCCCATGAGAAAATGTAAAAAATTGGTGAATAAAGATTATTAACTTTTTTAAATTTAACAATCGGCTGACGTTTCTATTTCAAAGGTCGAAAAATCTGTACAAAATAAAGGCTGTTCTTTAAAACACAATTAATACGTGATATAGTACATCTGTCGGCTACATGATGGCAGTTCATGCCCACTCACTTCCCTGCCCTCTGTTAACTAAAGTAGGAAACACATGAGATCCAAGGCTTTTGTTGAATGCTGTGACGTAAAAGGAGAAAATAGTGAGAGTCTATAGCCCTGCCATCTCTTGTAGAACTTGAAAACTTGCATTTAATTTTAATAAATGAAAAATCTTCCTATGTATTTCGGATTATTTTTTATTGCGTAGGAAGAAAAAAAAACTCGTTGAGAACTACTTTTTGAAAATGACATTATTACAGTAAAGATAATTTTAAACTTGTTATTTGATGCATACTTAAATTTTTCATTTCTATTCTACGTAAATACAATGTAACTCCACTGTTAAATAACCAAAAAAACAGTTCAAAACACATCTCCACTTCTCATGAAAGCAACTATCACGTTTTTCGCGATAATATCAACAAAACCCTTTATGTATTCCAGCTTTTAAGTAATTTCGATATCCATTGTGCCCTACATACGTACGTTGTGAATTATTGGTGTGACGGACATGTGGTGACCCCCAGCGAACGTCTGATAAACTAGTATATGTTGCTATGGCGACGTCCACGTATAAACACAAATGGCTGACTAGTGGAAGCTAGAAACATGGCTAGCATCAGTGTGGCACTGGATTATTCAGCCAAATGTCGACAAAGAGCGGCAGGCAACGACATCTTGATTTATTCGTGTGAACTTGAAAAAGTAACTTAGCATTAAATACCCGTAATTGTGCGTGTGAAATTTATGAACTGGGATTTTTAAATAACAATTCGCGCGGTGTATAAGCAAAACAATTACACATGAACTCCGTATGGATTATGAATAATCATGTGATTATGCCAGATTACTATTCAACTTTGAGGTCAAGGTCACCGGCATACACATTCTCAAGTCAACCACGTGCCTTGTTAACAAACAGGAAGAAACACAAAAATCAACCATTGTAAGTAACCATTTTAAGTGAATTTTTGCTTTAGTGTTAAAAGTTTTCAAAAACCAAGGGGCTCTTTTGAATCTGCTAAGCGAATACAATGTATTTTACACGAATCCAAGGTACAGAGGTATTCAGTCCTTAATGCTAGGCACGTACAGAACAGAAAAAGACTGATTAACCAGTGTATTTAACTGAAGTTGCACTTATTAAGCGTAATGAACAAATCAGACCGAAAAACCATCTTGACCTGAATTTAGTGGTCATATTTCTTACACATCACACGATAAGACTGTACCGTCTTGATAGGAAAGGCCGTTAATGGTAAGTCATTACTCGGTCGTCAAAACCACGTTTTTTTAAGATGAAGTATTCCACGTGAGAGTAAGGTTGGTACTAAAATTATAGACTGCAAAGAGCCATTGAAAAAATAAATTAGAAAATTTGGTAACTTGGAACTACTGAATAAATTTTTGGTGGGAGTCAATAGGTTTGTAAAAATTTAATCTTTAATATTTCGTCACCCTTGGTGATAAATATCATCATGCCAAGACATTAATTATAAAAAGCATAATCACTGTGTTTGTAATCATCATTGATTAAATTGCACAGACTCCCAACGCGATTCCCTGAAATTAAAGTTAATTACGAGAAATTAAGCTCGCCGGAATTTTTCTGCCGCGTGCTTCAATCGATCAATCGACATGTCACGCAAAGTAGCCTAACAGGGAAGGGGCATTCACATTCGTCGGCGAGGGTCATTCTGATCGAAGGGCACGGAACCTTAACTTCCGCCCAGCGTTTTCGCTCCCTGCAGCCCCAAGAAACAAATATTTCATGTTTATTTACTTTCAATTTGAAATCCAGATCTCAGTGCACTGTTACAGGTCTTCAGTTTGTTTCTCTTTCGGGCAGTCCCGAGTTCAAATCGCAGCCCGAAGACAGGCTATCTTAAGTGGAGTTTTCGTAGTTGATCAACTAAGATCGCTTCCTTCCATATCCTTACCAGTTAATCATTGACAAGTCATCCCATCATTCGATGAATTTCAAGCGCGTAGTTAAATCAACCAAGAACCTATCTGTCAATCATTATCGAATTCAAAGATTTGCCATTTTCCGACACAAAAATCAGTTTAATTCCACGGCATCGGTTTTAATATTATCCTCCCAATCACGTGAGAACTGAAATTAAGCCGCCGCCACTCAACAGTAGCCAGTGAACACGGTAATGTTACTCTGGGTTCCATAAAAGGCAGGAGATTTCTTTGATCAGCTAAGAGACAACTAGCTTTTCAAGAATGACTCTGTTCAATTCAGTGGCATAATTTAAGTACCATCTCGGCATTTGCCCGGAAAAACTGAGTAAAATCAAGAAAAACCTGTCTCCGGGCCGAGACTTAAACCTGGGACCTCCCGAATACGAAGTAGGACTTCGCTCGATCGTGCCTAGTAGAATTTCAAATCGAATTAACTTCCCTGCTCGCTGCAATTACCATTAAAACTAAGCATTATTGACGTAGAAAAGGGAAATTTATAAAATATGCAAGGGTCTGGGAGAATTTCTTCTCTAGTCTATACTAAGAATCTATTTCCAATATCCTTTGCCATGAGCCATTGTACTCAGAGACTCTGACGTAAAATCCAACAGTTGAAATCTGTAAATAATATATGAAGTAGTTGACGCATTTATGACCCGTGATTCACCAACGGCTATGATAAAGCCTTTTATACAGCCTGAATATGAAACATTTAAATGGTTAGCACAGCCTGAATATTTAACAGAGCTACGCCACGTTGCAGTGACGAACAAGATGTTAACCTGACAACAGAAAGGCTTCTTACTGCAAATATTTGAACCCTTCAAGGTAACAGGCTTTATAACGTACACACGTTTTAAATCAAGGATACTGAAACGAGAGGCACACCTAGCAATCGTGGGAAAACAAGAAATGCATACGAGGTTTTGATTAGAAACGCATAGAAAAATTATCCCGTGGCCCGGATTCAGTCTCTACGTATTCTAAATTATTCCCGGTAAATAATTAAAAATCTTATCGATTCTGGAACACAAATGCTCGTTTTCACATATTATAAAGATAACAGACCTGTGGTATACTGTGCAATTTACTTTTAATAGAAATTGAGCGACGTTTCGAAGTTATTTACTGCCTCCATCATCAGGGCGACTTATACGAGACCACGCGACGCAGTATCCCAGAAGGCTTGTCATTTTTATACTCGCAGCCGTGGGAATCTGATATGTCACTAAGTGTCACAGCGCCTCGCCGAACTGCTGGGAACAAATTCCCGATGAACCGTATCGGTTTGCATGTGTGTGTGTGAGTTTCTTAACCTTCACGTTCAAGTTCAGATCTTAAAGTAGATATAGTAAGAAAAAAAACGTAGGCCTACCCCATGAATATCGCGGGCCGAGGTCTATGACCCAGGTAAATGCAATCGACACGAAGGCAAAGTCAACGAAATAGAAATCTAGAAATTCTAGATCGGGGCCTTTAAAACATGCAATATGATTCACTGCTTATTAAAGGAAGGAGCTCACAGGTAATATTTTATAAGACAAGAAACTGCTGACAGACACTTAAAAACAGATATTATCTCACACGACCAAAAATAAGACAATGCTACTTCCATAATTTAGTCACAAAACATTTATTCTACGTGAGGCACAAGACTGGAGTTTCAGAGCGGTAACTTTTTGACACAAATAAAGAATTTAACACGATGAAACAAACATCAGAAAGTACCATCTTAAAATTACTTACGAAAGCTTAAAACATTGTGGTTTTCACATGACATTTACCTAGTCTACGTACCATCATCCATAATTCATTAAAAAAAACAATCGAAAGTCTGTATAACAAACTGTTAGTTTGTTCGTTGTCTTAACCAACAGACAGAAATGCATATATTCAGTAATAAAGAGTATTCCCCCAATAAAACTATAAACAAGGTTATCTCGCATGCTATTAAATGAATACGAGCTTTATTTCGTGTTTTATAGACATTATACAAACCTAACCTAACATGTCTGACATTCTTAACCTGTAACTGATATTCGATTATACTTACTGGCAAGTCTTTATAGACGATTTTAACCTACATGAAGTAACCTGTTACAGTATTATTAACATATGCTCGATATTTATACATTTCTATCGTAAGTATTAAAAACTTTTAAATAATGTACTTAAACTATTATTGCCAGTTTTAACTGCATTTAAACTAAACAATTTAAAATTGAGGAATGAAATTAATGTGTAAAAACTACGCCATTGGTCAAAATTTCTGAGGTTATCCACAAGATAATTAGTCTAAATGAACCTAGAAAATGAATCCATCCTTTGAAATTTAACAAAATAAATCAACCACTCTTATTTTACTTCATGTTTAACACTTACCAATTGGATTCAGCTGTAATATTCCTGTTTTACACGTAAATTATTTCATATCACATCACAAGACCCACAAGATTGGCGCCATTAAATTCACTTCAGCACAGTGCCATCTCCTGTGGACGTTACGAACCAAATTAGCTTGACTGCTGTCTAGTGGCGCAGCGTACCGGTGAGTCGGTACTAGTAAAACACTATACCCCAGGAAGCAGAGCAGCCAACCTACGTTACATACCACCAAAACTGCACATGACAGTCCGTATACTTTTAAATTCCTCTTTATAATTACCATTGCAGTGTAATATGTTGCAGGATGGGTTATGAAGACTATATTACGCAGTTTTCTTCAGCCTCGTCTTATTTTATCCCTCTTAGGTCCGTACATTCCTCTCAGCACCCCGTTTTCAAAAATAAAATCTTTATTTTCCCATTCTAACTATAGAGACCAAGTTTCACACTCACAAAAATAATAGATAAAATTATAATTTTACGAGATTACTCTGTCACAACACACAGTTTGACTGCATTAATTTTTGATCGGGTCGAATGTGGATGTGTTATTGAGCGTGGCAAGGTCAGTCAACATCAGACCCACGTGGGGACAGAAACTGAATTCTCAGAGGCGCCCGACAGAAAATCACTGCTATTGAAATATTAATCTACCCTGGATCTTAGGTCAAGGATCAAAGAATAGGGAAGTTCCCGAGGTCGCACGGATCATGACATGTCGTTATCAATGTTTCTAACGAACATGTCGCCTCCATCTTCAGAGCGGAAGTGATCTTCTGGGTCGTGAAGCCATGTAGTCTCTTGCAGACGGTTACCGACGTTTCAGGCTATCCTGTCACAACCCAGAAGGTCACAGAAGAAATCTTAAACGCCATCAGAGTATAAAATGACAACCTCCCGCGTCTCGTAACGACGAGTGTCTAACATGAAATGAGCGTTGTTCAAAGCAGAAGATGCAAAATAAAGATTTGCCAGTTTCCTTCACAAAACAATCAAAGGTTTTGCATGATGTGCATGAAAAAATATTTAGATCGATCTGCGATGTGATTGGCTCGTGTGCAGGGCGCTACGTCCACAATGAAAGATACCAGTTTTATAGCACGAGGCGTCCGGTCGACATGAAAGTCTGATAAGCAAACGTATCCCCTCCCTCCCTCCCTCCCTCTCGCCCTCCGGTCGACGTATCTTTCACTGGCCACGTAGCGTGAGTGAGAAAATGCAAATCAACTGCATTTATCCACTCTCCTCGACTCCTGCCTACGTCCTCAGAGTAAAGTCAATGAGACACCAACGTAGAGTCCCTTCTGACAATCTGACAGTAGCTACGCTGGCCCAGTCAAGATACCACCCTCCCCAAATACGAATCACGATTCATAACCGTGTTCACCGGCGCCTGCCACCTCCCAAATATAATTTCACTAAGATCCATTTTAATATTATACTCTCATCTACATCTAGGTCTTCCAAGTGGTGTCTTACACTCCGGTTTTCTAGAATTTGAACACATTTCTTTTCTTTACCGTGCATGCTATATGCGATACCCATCTCACTGTCCTTGATTTAATTATCCTAATAATATTTTGAGAAATCGAATTTTACGACTGAGTAAGAACATGACTTGTTGTTAAGATGAAGAATGTGCCTACGTCAAAGTTACCACGTGACCATGTTAATTTATGGAGTAGACACTTGTACGTGAACCAAGGCAGTTTCAATCCGAGTTTTCGTGGCTCTGCGTGTGTTTAAACGTGTTCTTTCGGAAGACATTTCTTGTCTTTATCGAACACACAGATAATTCAGTCAAGCGTTGATCAATCTTAACATCGATTGTGGCTCCTCTAGCCAAAAATCTGAGCTGACTTCTAGACCGGGATTCGCCACTTATCACAGAATATATGTTATAGTTCATTAAACAGGTTCCTCAGGCTACAAATAAGCTGCTTGTGGTTATGAAATGAAAGTTGGGATTCGGCAGTAAAGCAGCAACGTCTCTGACCAGCGCCTTGGGGCGAAGGACGGGTAGCGTGTGTTACAGTACGGGCAAGTGAGATATTGGTTGACCGCAATGACGTCATTATAGTTAGATGAATAATTCCGGCAAAAATTTCCATGCTCTGACCTTCACTTATTGCAGGGTAGTGACCTATTAAAATGTATAAATTAACCGGTAGTTGTACATTAATCACTGCTCAATGACGTTTCGTAAGAGAATGCATGTGTAATTTAGACGGCAAAATGCTGGCATTGAATTAAAGTCATTTTTCAACCAGGAGAGATGTAATATACGATATTATTATCGAAATATGACGGACCGCAAAAGACGTCGGGCTAATTAAAATGAATTACTAAATATTTCATTATCAGTAAGGACTAAAACGAGAACATGCTTTATCACCATTGATTTTTTTAAATTTCACTTTTGAGATGATAATGTTGCGTCATACTGTGATGATTATAATTGTTTAATTTTAACCGTCTAATCACAATAAAATATTTTATTAAATATTAAAATATTATTATTACAATTAACATTTAATATTTAAAATATATTAAAATATATTAAAATGATGCTCTTTCTATCGAAATGTTCGATTTACAATTAGAGCATCATCATTGAATGTGATAACAAAGTACAATTGATCTAGAAGAGGATAACTTTCCGATATTTAATGGACATCTGACGAAGGATTGCATTTAGAATATTACATTTAAATTTATATTGATTATACACCTGAAGATGGTTCATTGAAAACCGAAACATGTCGTGAAAAAGATGATGCTCTAATTGTAAATCGAACATTTCGATAGAAAGAGCATCATTTTAATATATTTTAATATATTTTAAATATTAAATGTTAATTGTAATAATAATATTTTAATATTTTAATAATTAATAAAATATTTTATTTTGCTTAGACGGTTAAAATTAAACAAATTTCGCTTTATAAAACACCATCATGAACGTCTAACAAAATCACGAGGGGCTGAAATTTGATAGGACATATCTGCTTCTAGTCTAGCTGATGATGTTAATTTACTGGGTGAGACCTTTACTATCACAAAACAAAGCACAGAATGAATATGGCTGCCTTCTGGTATGTCGCGCGGTCTGATAGAAGTTTATCGATAGTTCAGAGGTCCCTGCTGTCTCCATCATCAGGACATCAAGTACTTCTGAAACGTAGGTAAACTTCTAATAGAAGTATAGAAGTCAAGACGTATACAGAAATTACTGCTGAATAAAAATAAGAAATCCCGAAGATGAAAATACGTAATTCGTACTCATTACTTCTTAATATTGACATCTTAAGATCAGGGATGGGATGGGAAGGCGAAGACGTCTGGGAAACGTACAAACATATGTGAGACACGAATACATTAGTCCGAAAACACGACGGGAAAAGACAAATTGAAAGACCTAAGTATAGATATAAGAATAATATTAAAATGTATCCGAAAGTAATAGAGTGGGAGGTAGTTGAACCGACAGCATTTCGCGAATATCAGTGTCTGACATTCGATCCTCCCCATCCAAAAATGAAAGTGGTATCAGAAAGACGGACGAAAACGCAAAAAAGCTGTCATTCATTACGGGCACAAATATTTGCGAGTCATTTATCACAGTCAGTGACATCAAAAGCAATCACGTCATTGGTCAATAACGCGTCCATCACAAATACGGAAGTTCGCCTGTCAGTTGTTTGTAATATGGGGGGGGGGGGACTGTTCACTGCGTTGCAATTTCCGTGACTTTGCTGATGATGTCACAGATGATTAACCCTCCATAGCTCAGTAAACGTGCGTCTTACTTATGTGGGTTTCGTACGATTCTCAGTGTAAACAGCGATTATTTCCTTAAACAGCGTTAACCAGTTGATCTTTGTAATGGTGAAGTGCGGTGTTTTCTTTGCGGTACGGACTGGATTCTTTAATATTAATCAGACGAACTATGATTCTCAGTGTAAACAGCGATTATTTCCTTAAACAGCGTTAACCAGTCGATCTTTGTAATGGTGAAGAGTTGTGTTTTCTTCGCGGTACGGACCGAATTCTTAAATACGATTTAGACTACCATCGGATTCAATAATTTTATCACTCGACGCCACATAGTCTAAACTATTAACAACGTCGTTAAACAAATCACATATGTATACGACGTTTCGGTACTGGGATATATTCAGGGGATTGGTCGTCATACTGACAGATTTGCAGTTGTTTTTTGTACACTTACGAAAGATTTTAATTCTTTATGTCTAAAAATAGTACACACAGCCATGAGGCATGTACAGTGTCGATTCCTCGCTCTGAATATATCAGAAAATTTTAGAACGAACAAATTACAATAGAAAATTGCTTTTGGAACAGACTCCCATTGAAATACAGAATCGCATTTGCCTAGCAATCTAACAATCTTTGGTTAAAAATAAACTTTAAACCCCCTACCCCCCGAATGTTTATTTCTTTGGGGCCTTCGAGAAACATTTGCATACAAGCCATTGTTCTTTTGTTGGAGGCCGTGGTCCTCGTGAGTGGGTGCAAGAAATCCTTCTTCACCGCCACCGGAGGCATGTGAGACGTAGCGCGCGTGGCAACACGCAGCCATGCGCTCTCCTGTATCGGGTTTCTGCGTTAGAACGCGCGCATTCGCACGAACACATACCACAGACGTTAATAGTCGGCCCCCTTACAGCGGCCGTGGAGTTTCACGGGGAGACAGTTTTGTTACCGAATGAGAAAGAGTGCCACCGAAGTGAAGTTTTTCGTGAAGACACAGTTTTGTTGCTGTAGTGAAGTTTCGTGAAGACAGGCATTTGTTTTGTAAGACTTTTGCGAAGGAGAATACGAAGTTTCACGGTGAAGACCTCACCCACGAAAATGTATAACAAACCATGAAAAGAGAAAGTTACCAGAACAGAAACTTAGCGAAAACTTATACTTATCTACGGATGGATTTTACACGTAATGGTGTTAGTTAAAATTTTGCCAACAGTGTTTATCAGTCAACAAACGTGGTATTGTTGAATTCGGTATTCGTCCTTAGTAATTTCTGTAACGGTGTGTGCAGTTCTCGTAAAATATCATAAAACCTGAAGGCAGATGAGAGAATCCATTACATTAGCTATAAATTTGCTTCAGAATGTTTATTTATTACTCACACACATTTCCAAATTTCATCCTGAAAAGTTAAAAATACACGTAGTAGAATATTAATTATGTTTCGTAAATTTCATTCGGAATATTTACTTCCGCGTTATTAAGTCGAATTAAATAAAAATAAAACATTTTTTTTTAAAATCCATAAATTCCTTAATTGTATAGTGTGATTTTTACACAGTTATTATTTGTGTACGGACATTAAATGATCATTCAAATTAGCATACGGCATTCAGATAAAAAAGTATTTCGCCATCAGTGTGATTCATTACGATATATGAGCATGTTTATAGACTAGCTCACAGATAAAAATCTAAGCTTATAATTCACAGTGTTCAAAGATATTTTGAGTGTTCTGGATTTGTCACGCCCATACAATGCCAGCAGTTCCTCTGTCTGTGGAAACCAATAGCAATGCTAGTACTTTGACAGACGACCAAGAGAGAGAATTCACTGTCCTACACCAGGATTCGGAATTCACCGACGTCACAGATTTTGCCTTCACCGTGTTACACGAAGACTCTCTTAAACAGAACTTGTCTGAAGGAAATGATGGCACTGAAGAAGTAGGAGGCAAGGACGAAAGCCAGAACATTAAACGAAAAATTTACAATACCTTTAACACCAGCATCGGCGATCATAAAATATTGAACCGATCAAATGCTTATCTTCTGCAACAGAAACTTATGAACCTTTCCAAATCGAATTCGAGCCTTCAGGATCAGGGAAAATCTAAAAACTTGGGCTCAGTGATCAACAATCTCAAAGAACAGAAGAATCTGAGTAAGTCAAACAGCCATCTGCCTTACCACGAGAAATATCAACTTAAAAAGGACATAAGCAAATCCTTCAACAGTCTGCAGAGGCGAAACATCGATCAGGGTGAGAACAACATTGAAAAGGAGCACAGGAATTATCACAGATATTGCCACATCTCCGGAAGAAATTATCTAAACAACAACAACAACATGACTACATTAAAACAGAGACCGGGTTTTGACCGAGAATTCACCAATTTTACGGACACGGGAATACAGAAAAATGACGCGGGCGCAAGACGACGCAGAAATCCCACAGGACCAGAATCCCACGGGAACAACAACAACAACATTAACGGGGTAAAAAATAACGAGAAGAAGACTCAGTTCTACGCCAAGAACGGCTACACCAACAATATTAAAATGAACGAAAAAAATACCGTGAACTCCGAAGACATCAGGAAACCGCTGTTCATAACGACGGTGAAGACTGGAAAATTCCTGGACCCACCGCCAGAACTGGCGATTCTCCTGGGATTAAACCACAACCTGAACGATTCTGTGGCCAGTTCTGCCAACGGTAGCAGCAACTCCCTAAACACCAGTGTGAGGGACCGACATCAACAGCAGGTGCTTCTGTACTCGTTTTCCAGCCAGCCCCGAGTCCTCCACCAACATTACCACAGGACCAAGTGCGATGCGGCAGCAAAGGTGACCAACAGCGACGAACGGAAGATTTGCAAAGAAGGCACCAGTGACAAGGATGGCTCGTGAGTAATTAAAAAATTAAATGCGTTGCTATAGAAACACAAAATTGCTCCACGTGATTGATCCGTCCAGTGGTCAGACGTTTTCATGTGTATGATCGCTTTGGTAAAACGGAATTATTAATGTTTCTAGCTACCACGTAAAAATGTCATAAGTGATTAGACAAATCTTCGGGGTAGATTTCTTTATGTAAGAAACTGTATACGTTTCTATGGTAACGACACATACACACAATGTTAATTCTTGAAGATGTGGGAGTTTTCAGGATTACGAATCGCCTGTTTGTTTGATTTACTAATCACAGAGCACAGACTTATCTAATCTCGGCGTCTCACGTGTTTGTAATTCATATCGAAACATGGACTGCAACGGTGTTTAATTAATGAAAAGCATGATTCTAAAATTTGCAGTGTTATTCAAATGGGATATAGGCCTACAGATAGATCCACAGTATTGGCATCAAATATTTTACGAAAAATTTCAAATTAAATGAAACTGTAATTCTACCAAGCCATATTGTGCTATGGATTGTCAATAGTATGCAGGCTCCAGAAACATTACAATATGTCCAAGATATTTAGCCGTTCATCACATATATTAAGAATTGTAATTGGTGTTTGTGCCGGAACGAACACGCTCCACTCAACATAAAGTGTTCTTCAACGCCTCGGGAAATAACTGTTTGATCTCCAACTGCGGTGAGATTGGTTGGACGCATAGCATACACGGAAAAATGCAACATTTTTTATGTAAAACGACAAGACATAGGACGCAGTAATTTTAAAAGTGACTTCATAAGCTTATTTATTGATGTGAGTGAAGAAGAGTATGTAATTATTCTAATTGCTTTTCTTTGCGGGAATGATATTTATAGATGGCGTTTGTGATCATTACATAAGAGACATATACGGCATTTCATTGACACTAAGAAGTATTTTCCGAAGAGGTCAACATGGAATTTTGTACTATAAATGTTCTAAAAGTAGACATAAAATCGATTCCCACTGTAAGTGCGATAAATCGATGTGAGAGGTCTCTCTCCTCTTAGCATGGAGAATGAACAGATGAAAAGTGGACCGCATGAATTAGTAATAATGTCCGACTGTACCTGGCGCATGCGCCCCAGGGATCGAATCCTGCTATTCTGATGTCTCCAATTTCCTAGACAAATGCTGACCTGGGATAAGTCGACATTTCACGTAACTTCCCCATGTGTAACGTTCGCTCTGTTGACCCACTAAGAATCGCTACAAAACTGTCAAGTGATTTTCCCTCTGCTTGAAAGCAACCTTACCAAACTCCCGCAAAAGTTCCTTCGTGAACAATTATCGTATTAAGTTGCCAGCAACAAAGGCCCGTTGAAATTAAACGAGGAACAATTTCTACCATATTTTAATCCCTTTTGTGCTTTTTAGAGATAATTATAAAAGCTAACTAATTGTTGCAAAACCTGTAAAATAGAACGTTCTTCCATATAGAGTCATTACTGAGAACACGGTCAATATATTTTGAGTGTGGTGTATTGTTTTGTTGTGTCTCATTGTTTTGTTCTGTCTCATTGTTTTGTTCTGTCTCATTGTTTTGTTCTGTCTCATTGTTTTGTTCTGTCTCATTGTTTTGTTCTGTCTCATTGTTTTGTTCTGTCTCATTGTTTTGTTCTGTCTCATTGTTTTGTTCTGTCTCATTGTTTTGTTCTGTCTCATTGTTTTGTTCTGTCTCATTGTTTTGTTCTGTCTCATTGTTTTGTTCTGTCTCATTGTTTTGTTCTGTCTCATTGTTTTGTTCTGTCTCATTGTTTTGTTCTGTCTCATTGTTTTGTTCTGTCTCATTGTTTTGTTCTGTCTCATTGTTTTGTTCTGTCTCATTGTTTTGTTCTGTCTCATTGTTTTGTTCTGTCTCATTGTTTTGTTCTGTCTCATTGTTTTGTTCTGTCTCATTGTTTTGTTCTGTCTCATTGTTTTGTTCTGTCTCATTGTTTTGTTCTGTCTCATTGTTTTGTTCTGTCTCATTGTTTTGTTCTGTCTCATTGTTTTGTTCTGTCTCATTGTTTTGTTCTGTCTCATTGTTTTGTTCTGTCTCATTGTTTTGTTCTGTCTCATTGTTTTGTTGTGTCTTATTGTAGTACCACTGCCACCGGGTAAAAACCCATTTGTAGTTAATAATAAATAATACAATAATAATAATATTAAACCATAACAAGTAGCCTTGATGTATGCACAGACTTCCAAATATTTTTGATACTAAACAAATTTAACAATACACGACGGACAATAATGTAAGCGTCTACGTATTTGTTATGGCTAATGTGCATTAGTTTTTTTAAGCACCACCAGTCCTCTTATTATTAGCTTAATTTCAGTCAAGCGTACCACCGAATTGTTAGCTAAAATCATAATTTACCGGCGGCTGTAACAGATGGCCGCCATAGAAGGATAAAATATGGGAAATACCGCAATTGAAAATTACACGTATTGATCTTCGATTACTCCTGCAATTGTTGAAGCCGATTGCTTGGACAACTGCGAAAGCTGGTCATTTCTAACAATTGGCCATCACGAGGTGGTCTCACGAAATCTCATTGTTTAAGATGACCACTTACATGATAATGTAACTTAAGATCAAAAAAAAAAGTTTACAGACCAGCTACGCGACTGCTAGGTTCTCCATACCTCTGAGCCATGGAGTTATTTTATTCATTCTCCTGACTTCTTAAAATTTCTTGGTCTGAAATTACGTAAGAAGTTAACCTGTTCGCTCTCTTCGTGTCATCGCCCGTCGACTTTCAGTCCTTCTTGCATAACGAAGACTTTTTTTTTTCTACGTGCGTTCACAGAGGGTGAAAGTTTGATGTCATATATTCATGGCGTACTTTAACAAGTTCCGACTAACTCCCAAAAAAATGTTAGTCAGTAATTTAGTCACATTAAATTTAACGCACTTAACAACTTAAAAATACTTAAGTTTTATTTTTAGATTTCATGTCACTAAAATATCAGTACGTATTTTGACAATTTGACTACATTAATGAATACATTTTTTTTAAAATTCAACATTCCTTCGTGATCGGATTGATCACAACGCGTCACCGAGGTTATTCAAATATGTGTTTTATGAGGTGACATTTCAGGTTCTCACGGCGATGAGTATTAATATGGCTGTCCTATGGGTTGGTGCAATGTGTAGTGCGTTCAGTATCTGCCAGGCCTGACGGCGTTACGGCCCAGAAGACTTCCATCTTCATGAGTTTTATTTTACAGTACACATCAGATACGTTCCACCTCGTGTTACAATTCACACAAATTTTATTAAATTTGTGTAGCAAACCCCACTCCAAATTACACGTCTCTCCTTCTCTTATAATAACCTTCAAATTGTAAGACGAAAAATATTTCTCGGTTAAATCACATTCTTTAGTTTATTACAATCTGATGTGGAAAACGTACAAAATATAATCGTCCGTGAATCAAAATCCGAGTCCCACGAAGGGGATAAAATTTTTGCAAACGAAATATCGTCAGAAATTTTCTCTGTTCCTTCATATTTATGAAACATTTTTCGAATTGCATCCCTGACAAACACCCCACTCGCGTTTCTTGCCTTTTGACACCCCTCAGACATTCAGATCGATATTTTCGTGTGGTAAGCAGACGAAAATCGCCATAACGTGACGTAGTGACCTCACGGCAAACTTCCGGTTCTCCTCCATAGATAACACACGACTCCGCTAGCCGTTCGGTATGCAAAAGAAGGGGTAGCAACCCCCGTGGGCGCGAGGAAGCGACCATCAAGGGGTCTGCCGTCTTCCTTTGTCCAATCGCAAATAAAAATCTCTACGGTAACTACTTCGGAATTTGATACATGACGCAAAAAATCCGGGTGTAACAAAGGTTCTCGAAATTATTATTATTTTATAATCACCATAGTTCAGAATTACTTTTGGCCCACACATCGTGAACAGCTGGATTTAGCGGATCGAACGAAACAGATGTATCACTTCTCCCTTTTTGCCTGAAGACTTAGGAAGATCCATCCGTCGAAATGTATTGACTTTTTTGGGATTTAGAAACGCACTCGACAGACGAAGGATAACTAACTAACTAACTAACTAGATGGCTTACGGAACTCGAAGGTTCATCACCGAATTAACCAAAGCCCTCCACCGGACCCTGTCCTGGGCCAACAAAATCCAGTCTCCTTCGACTCCTGTCTCCCATAGATCCCGCCTGAGATTATCCTCCCATCTACGTCTAGGTCTCCCCAGTGGTCTCTTCCCCTCAGGCTTCCCAACCAATACCCGGTGCACACCTCTTGTCCCATCCATGCGCGCTACATGCCCCGTCCATCTCATTCTTCTTGACTTAATCACCCTGACAATATTGGGGGTGGAGTACAGATTTTTAAGCTCGTCATTATGCAGTTTTCTCCACGCCCCATCGTCTTCTCTCCTAGGCCCAAATATCCTCCTCAACACCCGATTCTCAAACTGCAATCTCGACGGATTAAATCCAAAATAAAGAGATCCCAACGCCTAAGACACTCAGACAAGGAACCTGCTGTTCTCACTGTGACTATGTTCGTTCTCTTGCAGAGACGATGGACCAGTGCGTTATGGGAATCTCATGTTTGACCGTCGCGTTATACGCGGAAGCACGTACGCACAACAGCCGATGCCGGTAAGTGCCGCCTCTGCACTTAGACTAACTACTCTATTTAGCACTTTGTTAAGTGCTAGGAGCTGAAGGGGACAGCTTACACTGCATTAACCCTTTGAAATACCAAGTTCATCTAAATAACACAAAAAAACCCTCAGTACGTACCTCAAAGAGAACAAAATGAGTCTCCATGGCAGTGATCGTTTGGTTAATGCTATTCGGGAATTATTAATTGGTAAAATACAGTGATTTTTTGTTAAAACATGTGGTACATATTGTTACCATTGGGTTTTAAAGTGACTGTTGTCACTAAACGTAGATTTTCCATGGAAAAAGAAGACACATTTAAGATGTCTACACTGAAGCGAAGTACTCAGTTCAGTATTTAATTACGTCACAGAACGGAAATTACTGCTTTTGTGATATTTCTTTCTTTCATTCTTTGAGATAAGAAATTTTATTAAGAAGTTTCCTCATTTGCAAATCAATTAGTCGTATTGATTATGACGTCAGTGCGAAATATTGCCATTTTTGTGGTGTCAATAATGTACCACTCTACCAACGGGCACGGGGGCACATAAACAGTGGTCATGTAATGCCCCCAATGCAAAAAAATACGCCTACATCTGAATCTGTAAGTTTCGTTAACCCAAGTAAGAATGATAAACATTTCTCTTATCTTTTGTTCGTATTTCAATTACCCCAGTCTCAAAACTATGGAAATGTGCGCAAATCAAAGTATAAAATATTTGTTTATTTGTTTAAATCTTGTCAGTCTAATCACAATAAAATTCCTATTAAATATTAAAATATTACTAAAATTAACATTTAAATATTTAAAATGATGTTCTCTATCGAAATGTTCGATTTACATTAGAACATCACTTTTTACA